ACTGGGATTGGAAAGATGGATCAGCAGTTGCAGAGGACCCAGTTTTGGTTGCCAGCACCCACATGGTAGCCAACAACCCATCTGCAACTCTACTTCCAGGGGATTCAACACCCTTTTCTGGCCTCTACAGGCACTGTACACACATGTGCACTTATACACATGCAGGCTAAAATAAAACATTAATAATAATAATAATTTCCCCTAATTAAAAGAAGATCCTGATCTAACCTACACCTCTCTTTTCCAAGTCCTTGCTCTCTAGAGCCTTTTGACATTGCTACATGACATCATCACCTACAAAGTTCACACTCAAGAACCATGCAATCAGTGGAAGAAGCCAGAGCAGCCTGCATCCCAACTCCCTATCTCCACAAGTTGGGTAATCTCTTCAGAGGATGGTGTGATAAGAATAAGAGGTAGGAATTGGCTAGGCAGTTAGGGTAAAAAGACCCCAAGGAAAGGTAGCTAGATTCTTGGGTACATCTCACAATGTCCTTGGGCCTCTTAGCAACATACTCCGTTCCAAAGGCCAAAAGTGTCCAAAATACGTGTGAGCTTATATCTAATCCTTAAAAGATTTTAAGGATTTCTTCAGAGGGGGGAAATGTTAGAGTAGCTAAAAGCCCCATAAAAAATAAAGAAGAGGAGAGTACATGAAATTATCAGAAAAAAAAATGATGGGGAGGTATGGGAGGAGTTGGAGCGGAAGGAGTCAGCATGGATTTGATTAAAACACCTTAAATGAAGAGTACATGAAGATATCAGAAATAAATTGATGGGGAGATATGGGAGAAGCTGGAGGGAAGGGAGTGGGTATGGATTTGATCCAAATACCAAAACACCTTATATGCATGTATGAAATTCTCAATAAATTATTTTAAAATATATATATAATTTGAATAAAAAAATTTAATTCTTAAGAAAAAGAACCATGCAATCAGTTACCAAAAAAAAAAATCACAAAAAATAATGTTTTAAGTAAGTTTACAATTTTGTATTGGTCCACAGGTTGGACACGCCTGCTCCAGACTTCCCTGACAACAGAAAGATGTAAAAGGAATTGTAAACCAGCAGATGCTCTCCTGAGCCAAGAACAAGATAACTATATTCGGCTCAAGTGGAAAAACGTACTTGAAAAGAAAAACACATTTTCTCCCTTGAATTCTCCTTCAAAGGCTGAATAACTCTCCATTGCCCAGGTTTAGTGTGTTTTCCTATAAGAAAGCTTTACTAAAAAGACTCTTTCTGGAGAAGCATGGCCCTCAGTTGCTGGTCCATGGTGACTTGTCTTGAGCCTCATACACAGTGAGTTTTCCCATCTTTATCTCCAGACCAGGAAGAATGGTTTTCCACGTATCTAACTGTATTTTTAATTGCTGCATTTCTTCCTTATTTGAATTGTTTGTTTTGTTGTGCTTTGGTTTTTTTTTAAAAAAAAAAAAAGTCTCACTCTGTAGCCCAGGCTAGCTTGGAACTCACTATATAACCAAGCTAGCAATCCTCCTGCCTCAGCCTCCTGAATGCTGGGATTTCAGGTATGAGCCACCATGCCCAGTGTGTAGGTATTCTTGATAACAGTAGACTGGAGTACCCTTGGCTGATTTGCCCTTATTAAACTGGGAAGGTCACCTCTTATCCAAGGGTTTATAATCAGCAAGTCTTCACTTCCCTTCCACAAAGGCATGTCTTCCCAAGTCTTTTACAGTTACAATTCATTTCTCTAGGTTTCCTATGGCAGGCATCTGAACAGAATTAAAAGCATAAGCACGTGCAAAAATAATCCGCTTCCCAAGATAGTAAATGCTGAGTTCTATATTAGAACACGCACTCGCGAGTGCTGACTGGCTGGGGCATGATTAACCTAATAGGCTTAAAGCTTCGCTTGCTGTCCACATCTGTCAGGACAAAACACAGGCCAATAATCCATGAGACTGAAGTCCTTCAGAACTGTCCCGCTGCTCAGTAACAGCAGAGGATTCAAAACTTCAGACAGCAGACATGACTTTCTCTTCATAGTGGGACTGGTTCCAAGTTTAGGAGCTTGTACCATGGACTTCCAATCTGATCTGGAGTTGCCTGGATGGCCTAACCACAGAGCCCTCCATTCCTATTTCCAAAGATTCTCTGAAGACGCTGAAGGTTGTAGGTGGAAGATGGTGACAAGCTGAAACCATGGGGTGTATACCTTCACACAGTGTCATCATCAACAGCGTTGCCAAGAGTGGCATTCAGTTTTTGAAAAAGCCCAAAGCAATTTTGCCAGGATGCCAGTGGGGCAGCCAAAGATGTTCCATCCCTTTGCTAATCAAAAGTTCTACCTGCTATGACCCTGGGGGGTGTTGCCTGCAGAGGAGCCAGAGAGTTCCAGGAAGCCCCAAACTACAGCTGAAGGTCTTTGTCAGCTCACAGGAGATATGGAAGGACTGAGCCCTGAAAACCAAACTTTTGCATCCCTGTTGAACAAATCACAAAGCCATGTGGCTACAGACATTTCATTTGGGACACAATGTTCCCACAGGACACAAAGAGCAGCCTTTGCTGGGGAAGAGAATAAGGAAAACACTACCCAGGAAACCTCAGAATGGGAAAAGAAGCCAGAGTGCCACCAGCCGGGCAAGGAGGGCCAATGCCGCCAAGCCACCCTTCCTGCTCCCGAGTCAGAAGGCAAAGTGGACTTCCCTGAGCCCCTGGTAAAGGCTCACCAGCATGCTTACAGCTATCTACAAGCCAGTCTTTCCAGATACGAAGCAATCCTGCACCTCACCCAGAAGGCCAGCGAGACCCGGGAACTGCTGCAGCCCATGCTCAGCTTTCTGCTGCTGTGCTTTGAGGAGGTCGGGCAGCTCCTGGGGGAGATCTCCAGGGATGGAGAAGTGCTCCTCCAAGAAGTTAGGGGGGATCTGGCATGGCCACCGAGGAAAGGAGAACCCTGGGAGCAGCCAGACCTGCTGCAACAGCTGCTGCAGTACACCGTCAATAAGTTGCAGGTGGTCCACTGCATGGTGGCCACCTTAAGTGGGAACTTCCTGGAGGGGTCTAGCAGTTACCTCCACTCCACCGCCAGCCAGCTAGAACATAAGCTGAGTACCAGGAGAGGTATGGACAAACGCCTCCTGAGAGCTCTGGGACAACTAGAAAGCCTGACAGGTGGCTCCATGGCCACGAGTGACCCTGGGCTGCAGGGTCCACCCTTGTGCTCTGAGGACAGTGGCATTGTTGCTGACAATGAGTCTGTGCAGTCCACAGAGAAGTTGGGCAAACAAGGCAACTGGGATTTTGCAACAGAGCCTGGAGAATGGAAACCAGGAACCATACCTCAAGAGGAGGTTAGGCTGCCAGGGCATGCCTTGCAGCCAAGTCCATTCTGGACAGGTTCAGACAGACCCCAGGACCAACCTGGGTCTGCGGTGACTAAGGTTCAGCCAGCAGCACAAAGTGAAGCCAGGGGCTTATGTACCTCCAGCACAGGCCAGGAAGCAGTCATCTCCAGGCCTCTGCAGGTTAACAAGAGCACTCCATGGAACTCCCTGAGTGTTGGGGTCCCTGTGGACACACATATTTCCCAAAGCTTCAGGTTGATGGATGCTCCATCCCTGAACGAAGGCAAGGAAAGCAGCATAGAAGAAGATGAAGTTAGCAACATGGGTTCATGTGCTGAGGAGAAGAAAGGACCACCTTCAAGACCACAGTCTTCACCTGCTGACTGGGAAAGCCTATTTCAGTCACACTCCAGGAAGTTTAGGAGCCCCCAGGCCCAGGAAATGATTCTGAAGATGAAGGAGGCCATCAGTGAAAGGATCAAGTTTGTCCCTGTGACTTCCAGATACCAGGACTGGGCTGAGGAGGAAGAGGGGAGGGCAGCAGTCCCTCCAAGACCTAGCACAGATAGTGGCAGCAGGAGGACACCAGAGAGACAAAGGAGGTCTCAATCAGAGGGATGTCTTAAGAGCCATGTGGAGGACCCCATCCTCCAGGAGCTCAGGCAAGTTCAGGCAGATCTCAGTCAGCGGCTGGAGGTATTTTATGTCCTGGGTGCCACACAACAGGAGCAGAGCAGGGAGCAGCTTCTGCAGCCCAGGGCAGCAGCACTGTGGCCCCCCACCAACTGCAGAGTGAGGCCCAGCAGTACTATCAGCAAGTTCAAAGCTTCCCTCACCAAGAACTTCAGCATTTTGCCCAGTCAAGACAAGAGCATCTTGCAGAGAGGCAGTTCCTACTCTGAGCATGATCAGTCTTGGCAGAAGACTGAGAAGCTGCCAAATGCCATACCTTGTGGTAAAAAGGACCATAGAGCTCCCAGAGACACTGAACTGGACATTAGGGGCTGTCCCACTAGAACATCAGTCAAAAAACTTATTGAAACATTCAGTCCCACCAAGAGTCTAAGGATGCCAGTGGACTCTAAGAACTTGGGATCAAGCCCCTGCCTCAGGAAATGGGGGGTCCCCGTCATGCCTCCTAGGTTTCCTATATACAGGGGGCTTGCCCCTCTGTATCCTAAGCCCCAAATTTCTCCAGCAGCAGGCAGAGAATCTCTCAAGGCAGGGATAGGCTGGAGGCCTTCAGCACCCTTTCCCTCTCTTCCTACATCAGAAGCATCCAAGAGTGAAGACATCAACTGTGAAGCAGAGGAGGACCTGGAGCATCTCCCTCCACCACCTCTGGAAATCCTAATGGATAAATCATTTACTGCCCTGGAGCCAAAGGAGAACACCAAGCCACCAGGTAGTTCCCTGGAAGAGACCATGGTGCCAGGGCAAGGAGGGGCTAGCCCTCCCAGAAGAACATGGGCTTCCCCAAAGTTGAGAGCCTCCATGAGCCCCATGGACTTGCTGCCCAGCAAGGTCACTGGCAGCTCCCAGAGACTGCGAAGCACAGGGCTAGGCAACTGGAGTGGTAGCAATCCCAGAGAGCTGACCTTGTACCTGAACTCCCAGTCCACACCCAGCGCAAAGCCAGAGGCTGAGGGAGGAACCCACAATAAGGCACAAACAGAGAAGGCCACAAGACTCTCTAAGCATCACCAGAAGGCAATTGCCTGGCACCACCCCAACCCCACATCTGGGAAAAGCAGGACCTTGGAACTCAGTCTGACTATACCTTCACGAGGGCTACCCTCTCCAGAAGCTTCCAGGCAGGGCCAAGAGAGAAGCCCTCTAGGGGCCAAAAAAGTCTCTCCTACAAGAGCACACTGGGCACCTCAAGGAGATGGGAGGCTACAGAACCTGCCCACCTCTCATGAAATGTTTCAGCCAAGCGTCCCTGCTGTTCTCAACTCCCTGGGTCCACCCCTGAACCCCAGGACGCTGAGCCCACCAGCCACAAGAAAGTCAACTTCCCCACCATGCCAGAACCAGCAACCCAACACAGCCCCAGGGAGCCCTCCTGTCCATTGGGCAGAAACAGGCTCCCCTTCCTCTGTCTCCTCCTCATATGACTCATCCCCCTCTCTGGAGCCCAAGGAGGTAAGACACTCTGAAGACAGCGAAGTTGCCAAAGCATTCAGGAATACATGCCCCATATTCTGTCCATCCACCTCCTCTCTGTCTGAAGCTAAATTGCCGTTCGCAACATCTCACCTGCTATCCCCAATATCACTGCCACCAGAGCCTGGGGGCCCTTTGGGGACCCCAGCAGGAGGCTGGAGGAGTAGCTCAAGGCCACAACTGAGAGCAGGCTCGCACAGGAGAATGGCTGTGAATGCCCTCAATCCCCTGCCCTTTGTCAGAAGGACAGCTCCAAACTGCCAGCATCAGCAAAGTGATCAACTTCAGCAGCCTGGCTCCTCTGGGGAACCCCATCTCTGTCAAAGCAGGTAAAAAAAAAAAAAGGTGCCTTGGGCCATTTCCCGAGCAGAGGGAGTGGGCCCTGTGGGCTGTCTGGGTTTAGTAGTTTTCAAATTGTGTTCCAAGAAGAGAGGCAGTGGGGAAAGAGGTGTGGAGAAAGCCAAGGTCTCCCCTTAACCATGACTGACTAGGCTTTTATTCACTGCCACCCTGCCCCAGTGCCTTCCTGGACCCAGCATCTGGAGTCTATTATCTCCTCCCCTGGAAAGGTCCCTAACCATCTGGTCCCAGAACCCCTTTAAACTCTTAAAAATTATTGAGAACCCAAGTTTTTACATTTTTATAATTGGCACCCATTTTTATAATATTAGAAGTTTAAACTGAGAAATATTTCGATATTTTTTAAAGAATAAATCCATTCTATATTCACACAAATAATGTATTCCTATGAGAAGTGTATTTTTGTCGTTGTCATTTTGAGGCAGGGCATCTATAGCCCAGGCTGGCCTTAAACTCACAATCCTCCTGCCTCAGCTTCCTGAGTGTTGGAAATGACAGCCATGAGTCACCATGGCAAGCCAAAAAATACATTTCTTTAAAGGAGAAGGAGACAGAAGGAGAGAGAGAGAGAGAGAGAGAGAGAGAGAGAGAGAGAGAGAGAGAAATTTGGTGGAAGGAGTGTTTCCATCTTATATTTTTGCCTTTTTTGCAAATGTGTTGGTGTCTGGCTTAAGAGGAAGATAGTCAAATTCTCAGATCTTCTATAGCCCATATTGTACATGTATACATTCAAAATACACCCCCCACACACATTCCTAATAAAATCAGCAAAAAGAGTCAGTAACATCTTCATGTTATGATAAAAAAAAAAATTGGTTGAAACTTGTGGGTCCCCCGGAAGTGTCTCCAAGATGCCCAGGGGTCCATAGACCACGTCTTAAGATCAGCTGGTCCTGGAGGAGAGACTAGAAACATCAGGCTTCCTACAGCCCCAGGATATTTCTCCATTTCTCCAGCAACTTCAGAGGTCTAGAGTGGGCACACCCATGAGCCCTGAGTGCCAGAAGCCAGAAGAGCTGTCCTTCCTGACTTAGGCAGACTGAGCTCCCCGTGTCCCTTGCTTAGCAGGGACAAGTTGATACATGCTATTGGCCCAGTCTACAGACAGCCTAGCACACAGCAGTAGGGAGCCAGAAGTTCCATGAACACTGAAAAGAGTCCTATGTTCCAGTGGTTGTTTTACAGAATCTGTGGGGGCACATGTGAACCTGAGGCCTCTAAAGAGCTCATCAATGACTTGATATCAGATCAGACAATACTCAGCCGACACCAGGGCCTGCTCTCTCTACATTGTCCACAATCGTATCAACCAGCAGTTAATTTCTGCCCAAGTGATACGCATCACAGCCTTCACAATCTGTCCAAGCATACATGGTAGTTTTTTACAAAGTACTTGGCAGTCAATTTTAAATAAAGATATTATCTCTGGAAAGTTCTGCGTTGTAATAGTTATATAAACTTCCCCAGCCACTTGAAAGAAATGAAATATTGATTATTTTAGCAAGAATCTTAACGTAACACTGCTCTTTTCTTAAATCTGAAATGGGCTTCCTACAGTACACTGGCTTCCATCGAAGAACTTCTGTAAATGCTAATGTATTATTCCTCACACTAGCTACTTACTCAGTTATTAGATTTCTAAAACTGTGCCCTTCAGGAGAAGAGCTTGAGAGAACAGGGACAATAAAATGACATTAATTAAAAACACTAACATTTTAAAACAGCAGGAGCTATAAAATTGTTCAAGAACATAAAATTGTTCAAGAAGAAAATAGTGCCCTTCTCCTAGGCTTCTCCTCTCAATAGGACAGAATAAAAGGTTGTTTCATGCTCTGAATCTCAATACGGGTGTGTGGTGTGTGTGTGTGTGTGTGTGTGAGAGAGAGAGAGAGAGAGAGAGAGAGAGAGAGAGAGAGAGATGGGGAGGATACTTGTAGCTTGAAAGAAGCCAAGGTCATGTGCAAGGTCACTTTATGATTTACACACATTCCCCTCCCTTTGGGTATGACTGTACCTCTATGTCATTCTAAAGTCTGAGCACATGTTGGGGAAATGCCCATCCCCCACCAACTACCCTATCCCAAGGTGTGGATTTGGTCTTTGGAAGCAGACTTACCAGCTGTAAGAGCACTGAGCCTTTGCCACTCATAGAAAACAAGTGTTAAGTTTTCTGTCATTCTGTCTATGGGGAAACCATATCAAGGGCTCTGGCCATGGCTTTCCCAAGACCATGCAACAAGTCAGTGCCAGACAGCCAGACAGTGTTTCCCAAGTAGGAGCCTGCAGGGACATATCATGCCACACCTGTGTCATCTTACAGCTAAGGCAGGCTTTTAGGTGCCCTACACTTGGCTTTGACTCCCATCTGTCACCCCATGCTAGGTATAGGCCCCTTTTATAGAAAAAGAATGGTGTTTATATCCTCCTAATTGGTTCAGGAATGGTCCTGGAAGGCATCCTCCAGAAACTCAGTTACTAAGTTTTGACCCTTCTGTATATGCTGAGTCCCCAGGTGAGATGCTATCTCTAGTCTCAGAGTGCTGGAGTTCTATGTACATTGTGTCTATACTTTCCCCTACATGCAATGCTTTTTGTCTGATCTGAACTGGTAAGGCAGGGGCCCTCTGCAGTCCCCATACAGGGGATCAGGTTGCCCAGTAGCCTACAGGGCAGCAGGTGGGCAGTCTGCCACCCTAGTAGTTCTAGAAAGAGGAAGGCCCACAGCCATAAGATGACAGCCAGTAAAATTAGCAGCCCTCTGGCCTTAGTTTCACAGAGATACAGAACTTGGGTGGTGCTGAGAAAGTTAGAGTTCTACATCAAATTGTCATGTCACCATGCATTAGCCTACAGAGTGGTATGCCTCCTCCCCTTCCTGCTAGTCCCTGCAAGCAGAGAGCAACGAGGGCTGAGCATGGACGAAGGACAGTCATGGATGAAGTATGTTCCCCACTCCCTAAAGGCTGGCAAAGAAAGAAGGTAGCAGCTGTGGTCTACAAATCACAGCGGGCCTTCAACACCTGCAGAGAGACCTGTAACTGAGTCGGAGGCTGACCCAGACAGAATTGGCTCTAAAGCACAGTGGGTTCCTCCGTGTCTGAAATATATGACTGCGTATCACCCTGTCCACCCTCTACTTCTACCACCTTTGCCCTGTTTAGATCCAAACATAGACTTGTCCACGAGTTTGACATACCATACACAGAGGGCGTGGTGACGCATGCCTTTAATTCCAGCACTTGTGAGGTGGATGCAGGCAGATCTCTGTGAGTTCAAGGCTAGCGTGGTCAACATAGCAAGTTCAGGACAGCTGGTGATACAGGGTCTTTTTGAAGACCAAAAAAAGCAATAGTAATTAAAATAAAAGGCAAGAATGTGCTGTCACAGACAATGAAAGACCTTCTGGTCTGTGCAGGTGGGAGGCAAGGCTCTTCTCCTGCTCCCAGGTTGACAAGGTCCTACCAAGACCCAATTCCCTGAGCCTTGGGTACCCAACTGCAGTATGACAGGTGGCCCCTAGGATCTTTTCCAGGTGTGATTGCCTATTAAGTACTGAGCAGCACCATAGAGACAGGTACCACTGTCCAACCACTAAGCAATCACAGGCTAGTTTTACCCTGAGTTTTCCATTTTATGCAATGTTGTTGCCTGTGAGTTCTGGTAAGATGGGTACTGTTATGATTTCCAATTTACGAAGAAAAAAAAATCTCAGATTCAGTGAAATTAATTCACATGCTGCAAGGCACACAGATGGTAAGTGGAAGAGCCAAGACTTGAACCCAGGAAGACTCCAACCTCCAGCCTGCCAAAAGCTAGTTCATGATAGCTTTGAGTTGCTCCCTTCTACCTAGGCTTGTTCTGTGCTTTGTGAGACATTCTCCCAGATTATGCTCAATCAGACTTAGGGTTCTGTGAGGGTCACTTCCCTGTTCATAACCCTTGACTGTGTCAGTCAGCAGCTGGGAAGCTGTGTTCTAGCCAAATGCTGGATGAGACTAGGCCAAGCAGTTTCTATTTGAGTCCATTCAGGAAAACAGTGGCAGCTGTGAAAGCAGGGTTGGGTGTTTTGTTTCTGTTACTGTTTTTCATTCAACCAACTGAGCCCAGCCCTTTATTAAACAAAAAGTGCTTTAGAAAAAAAAAACAAAACAAAACAAAAAGGCCCAGCTCCCCAAGGCCTGTTCAAAACAGTAGGATCCTGGGCCTAGGAGGAAAAACAGGAATCAACCTGTCAGTGGAAGGGCTGGGAGCTGGTTCCCACCATACCCAGCCAGGGCAGGCAGGCAGGTGTGCGGCAAGAGCAGCCCAGCCTGGCAAGCATGGAATGGAAAGGCAGAGGACAGGCATTTTGGGCATGCCCTAGACTGGGAGTGAAAGGGACAGGGAAGGGTGAGTGGAGAACAGGGAAGGAGCCAGAAGGCCTAGCAGAGAAGTGTCTGATCTGTCTTTGTCCTTTCTTTTAGCAGCAGCAGCAGCAGCAACAGCAGCGAAGAGAGTTCCAAGCACGATTCCCCACCTTGGAACAGCACCCATACTCCAGAATTGCAGGGCAGTGGCATGAGGTGGGCATCTCTCACAGAGCTCTGTGTGCAGGGCCATGGGCTGCAGCCAGAGGCCCGCATCAACCGTACTCAGGACAGATCCCAGCCAGAGGCACAGCCACAGCAGGAGGAGGTAGCCTGACAGGTTGGCCAATAGGATCACACTAGAAGACCCACGGTGGCAGCTAAGTGTTCACACTGCCCCATATGGTGAGCAAATCAATTCCTACTGAAGTGTCCTGGAAAGACCCTGAATATGCCCTACTCGGTGGTGTACAAAACCTTAAACAGCTGAATTCACTCCCAGATCCTACTTTGACTTGGGGTTCAAAGGTTAACCAAAATGTTAGACCCCACAATGATACTTTTCACCCTTTCAAGTGCTGGCCTTAATTTAGAAGAGAAATATATTTATCACATGATTCAAAGGCCACATGTCTTACACGCTAACCCATGGTAATCATGGCATCATTTAATCCTCGCAATAATGGATGAAAGAAATAGTGTTCCACAGTTTTTCAGATAAGAAAACCAAGTGTAGAGGAGGGCCCTCCAATGGTCTTGCTGGAGTTCAGATAGGTACAAGGAGAATAAAAACAGGTACAGGTGTGGGTGGCCTTAGACCCTACACTCTTCATCACATTTCATTGCCTTTGAGTATTTCATCACTGTACCTGCCTACCAGCAGGGATAGTTGTACCAACAGTAGGAATAGTGGACTTTTGTAAGGTTGAGTGGTGTGATGGTTGGTTTTATCAACACTGTCTACAGACACTACATCTTGAAAGATCTCTGGCTGCATTATAAGAAACATTTTCTGACATTTGTTTGCTTACTAAAAAGATACCTGTAACCAGGAAAACAACCACAATGTATTGACCTCTCCAAACGTACAGTTCCAGCAGTCAGCTAAGCCGAAAGGAGGAGGAGCCTGTTTGCCCATATCTCTGTGGCCCCTCTTTCACTGAATGGGTACTTCGCATCATCGTGGGTGTGCTAGCTCTGATTCTGGAAATAGTTTTCCTGACATACCACTCCTCTGATGGAGTGACTTTCTCTTCTGGAGTATCCATGATGGCTGCAGGCTTTATTTTTGTTGTCCTTAGTGTTGTGCTAGTTGTGTATAAAGACAATGAGAACTGGAGGAGCGTAGCACTGCTGCCCACACTGGAGGCAGGAAGGAGGGCAGACAGCTCCTTCTACATCTCCCAGCCTCTGGTGTTAGCCAGCACCAAACTGTAACTCTGCACTGAACTTCATACCCCAAGCCCTCTGAACTTTTAAATCTTCTGAGCATTAAAAAATAAAATAAAATAAATTTTCTTTAATGTTGTGTTTCCTAATAAAGAACAACACCACCACTACCACCCCAAAAAATGTACAGGTCCTAAAATCACCAAAGAGACAAGCCTCTGGGTGTGTCTGTGAGGAGTTTTCTAGATTTAGTTAATTGAGGTAGGAAGACTCATCCTAGCATAGATGGCACCATTCCATGGGCAGGGGTCCTGGACTTCATAGAAAGGAGACCTCTTTCTGCTTCCTGACTGTGGATGCAATGTGACCAGCTGCCTCCAGCTCCTGCACCACCATCACGGTGATGGACTGTATCTCTCAAACTGAAGCCAAAATAAACCATTTCTCCATTAAGATGCTTTTGTCAGGTATTTTGTCCCAACAGGAACAGTAACTGACACAAAGCACAAAAACAGTAACTGACACGGCATGTGAGTCTCCATTAAGAGCTTTGTTTAGAAACTAATTGCTCCTGACATGAAGACTGTGGAGGATTAGAGCAGCTATCTCCCAACTCCCTGCTTCCTCTGTTCACTCCAGTGCTATGAATTTAAAGCTCCCAGTTTCTAGTCACAACCATGCTGCCCTTGGCCTCTGCATGTATCCAAAGCTCTGGCTACGCTACACACCCACACGCTTCTTGGCCTAAATGAGCATAACCAAGCCTCCCAAACAAGGGGCCTGTTCTTTGCATTCCGTGGGTGCTGGAGCCCAAGAGATGGTGTGGGTATGACGTATGCTCACATGCCTAGCTCCCCCCCATGGCCCCTCCTTGGCCAAGTTTATTCCCAGGTCATTTGTAGAACATCTACTGGAGCTAAAATTAAAGCAAAGCATTCATGCCAGAAACCTGCCTCTGCCAGTGAGCTAGATATTTGTTGCAGATCCTGGAATTTTTCCATCTCAGGCTGTGGAGTACTTTCTATTTAGAAAAGAATTTGCAGTAATTGGGTGATTCAATGCCTGCTCAGTGGGTTGTCAAAAGACAAGAATTCTCACCCACAGACAACTAAGCAGGCCCATGTTCCGGAGCTGCTGCAAAGCTGTTTGGTTTTTTTTTTAAGTTTGAGAAAATTATAGACCTCAAATTCTTTTTCGTTGAAATGGATTGTGGGCTCAAGAACATGTTATACTGGATCCTAAGGCCTCCAGCTATCTCCCCTGGAGGACAGGCTTATGACTCTGACTACATGAATCTTACCTGATTAGTCTAGTTATTAAAATGAGAGTGACAGGGCTTATCTCTTCAAAGATAAGAGAACAGTTGATTAAATAACCAAAAGGAGCCTCAGTTATAAAATATCTGTATATGTAGAGCTATTTGTCCATGTTTGTTAGTGCGGCTGTGTTCATTTCAGAGCAGTGCTCCCAGCCACAGGTGACCAGGCTGTAGTTCTGGGATGGAGCCACCCCCAACTGGGTGGATACTGGGAAAGGCTGGGCAGATAGTGGGCATGGCAGGAGCTGAGAATGCACTAGGGTCCCAAAACTCGCTGCCACTGGTCTGCCATGAATAGTTGGGCAGGCAGCATGGGGAACAAGCAGATAGGGTTGGGGGGACATTGGGTTCAGCTGAACAAGCAGAGACAAATAATGCAAGTAGCCTCAGAGAGCTCACTCACAGGTAAGTGGCTTCAAGCAGCACTGGTCAGAAAATAGACCCCATCCTATGCTAGGGTATAGAGGGAGATTCCTGTAGATCTGAAAAAAATTAAGCAGAGCCCCAACTGCTGGGACCGCATAGACACACAGTGGATGGAACTAGGGTACAGGTGGGGTATAATACAGGAGGATTTTTTAAGTATAATTTCTAGAACCCAGATGCAAAGCTGAACCAGATCATCCTCGGAGGTTCAGGCAGGGACTGAGTGCACTGATCGCTGAGTGTTCCCACTACAGTGATGAGAACCACAAATGGTCAGCCTGGAGCCAGGGAACATGCTACATCATAGAGGGTGGGCGACTAGACAAGTAGACAACTCCCTGCAGGAGACAGGGATGAGCTTCTACTGCACCCCATGAGGATGCAAGCTAAGAGGCTCCCTGAACTGTGGGGGTGGGAGGCTGCCCCCTCCCCAGGCTAAGTTGCTAAGCAGCAGCAAACTCTCACCATGCTATGCTGCAGGCAGCAGAGAGGGCAACAGCAGCTCTGTTCCTGCCATCAGCCAAAGGAGCCCGTGGCACCATCTTATCTCTCTGGAGGACTTTTGAACATACCGAGAGCCTTAATTTGACACCCTAGGTCCGGTCCCTACATGTGATATAATGAGACGTGGCCACTGCCATCAGGCCCACGTAACTATATACTTATATTGCCCAGTGGTCCCCGCTGGACTATGCAGATTCTAAATTGGCTTCTACCAGAGCATGTTGGGAGAGAACTGCCAAAGCTGAGGAGCTGGGGGGGGGGGGGTGGGAGAGAACTGCCAAAGGTGAGGAGGTGGGGGGGGGGGGGCAAAGAAGTTCAAAGGTCAGGTAGTGCCAAGCTGGCACCAGAGTAGATAGGTGCATGAAGTGGGGTTTGGGCCACCAACTTCACCTAGCTTAAGTTACCTGTGATTAAAACTGTGTCCAAAAGAAATTAAACCCACTCCAACCAACCAGTCTTGTAGCATCAACTCAATTTTAACCCTCCTAGGGAATCAAGCCTTTCCCCAAACCTATGTCTATGGTACTGCTAGCAGTCATGAAGGGCAAGTGGATGCCACAATTCCACAGCCTCTCAGATACTTTTACATGTGCTCAACCTTTCTGCTGAAGAAACATCTCCTTACAGAGCCAAATTCACTTCTTTTGTTCACTAGAGAAAGAAGAGTTTTTATTTGCTTAGTCATTAAATCAATGGGCCCAACCGGATCAAGCACTCGCGAGTATACTTTTCTACAGTAGAGTTGGAAACCAGGAACATTGTTTTATCCATCATTCTTATACCAGACATGGAGGGGCCCCCACAGATCAATGGAGGTACATATCACACCCACATTCTTTTGGGGGACAATTCCCTTCTCGGGGTATACATACAGTCTTCATCCTCCAGCCCCATGGGGACCCCAGAGCCGTGAGGAGGGAGGCATCAATCCAGCATTTACCTAACACATTAGTAACATAGCAAACAAATCTGCCCTGGGGGAAAAAACATAATCTTCTGCTTCCATCAAAAGGATTCAGGAAGAAAAACAAAAAAGAAAATGTAGTTTTCTGGCAGAATGGTGACAGCTGTTTTGCAAGTATAAATACAATCCTCACAATGAAATATAACCTCTCTCTGAGGCTCAGGTCCATGTTGTTTACTACATGCAGCATCTATTTTCCTTCCGTATGTCACACACCCAGTCCAGAACCTCAAATAATCCAAATTGATAGAAATGCGTGACAGACCAAAGAGATTTTTCCTTTCATTGCAAAGAGTTTGTGCTTGTCAAGGCTTGCTTCATAAATCCTACAATGTGAATGAAAGGGATTTTGAGAAATGTATTCTTTTTCTAAAATAAACCAGTGTTTTGCATGTATCCGGGGAGCCAGTACAGTGAATTACATGTGTTGACATGTTTGTCGATTGATTACCTAGTTGGCCGCTTATAGGCTGCCAAGCACCCTCTCTGTCTTCCAAAGAAAATCTTTTCATAGGTAATATATTTTTAAGTAGCCTCACATCAAAGATGCTGTTGAGCCACCATAAAGTGAGTTCTGAGCCGAGATTAACAGAACATGGTGCACTGCACTATCGTTTACTCCCCATGCCTACCTGACATTTAAATAAAGTTCCATCAATCCATCCAGACGTTTTTATGAAATGTAATTAAAGATGCACTGCACACAGGAGGAGCAAATGGTTAATTTACTCAGCAC